TACAAAAACATATTGTGATACATATTCGTAATATTTAAAAAAAAAACGAGATAATAATGTTAATTTCGGGAAAAAAAACTACAACGTAATTGATAGGCGATTTTATCATTTAGGATCACCGGATATAATATTTGACAACAAAGATTTTTTTTCTATATAATACCTACAGATTAAAAATTCCGAATATCTGGTGACGTCAGCCGGTAACGTAGGCGTAGTGATTATGTTGAGTAGAGTGGCGTGGGCTGTGACGATATACCCCACCTAAATTGACCGCACTTGAGTAAATATTAGGTTAGGTACCTAAATGGCTAAAAGCATAGACGAAAAATAAGTGTACTAAAATAGTCTGTGGTAAAATTCGTAAGTAGTCATCAATATTGTATCGACTCGAGATTTACTGATTACTGTCAAATTCCATTGATGGTGGCCATTAAACTATTACTTTTTCAGTTCACTAGATAAAAAAGAAAATCCAAGTTTATAAAGCCTAACTGCGTAGCTATCGTTTTTCTAAACTATATTCGTCACGGACAGCGTACAACATTTTATAATCTGTACTCAAATAAATTAGTTTACGAGTATATTCAGAATAAAACACTAGGTGAAAAAGGGATAGCTAACACTATCTCTTACTACCCGACATATACGAACATTTTCGAACTATTAAACAAGTATGAGAAATGTGCAAAGATGATCCTGGAATATTTAGTTTTTTTTACACCTCAAACCAGTTCCATCATTTGCAGAACAGGTCGAGGTCGATGTACTTTGTGCTTTACCATTCGGCGTTGATAAATATATATAAAATAAAAAGCTTCAACTACAAACTGTCATATTTCCACATCCATACAAATATAGTGTTTAGTAAAACATTTCTCTTTCCATTCTTATGAGACATAGGACATTAACCTCTCGTCATAAAAGTATGAGCCATCCACAACCTGGTGAATTACAAAATCTTTTCTAACTCTGCATTCAGCATTCCTACGTGTACTATTATATTATTGTTATTGTCAGAGGATGATAGTAATGTTTGTCTTTAGATATTCATTGTTTATGACGAATGGTAGTCATGTCTTCGTAAGTGGGTGAGCCCATTACAAGTAAAGGAAAGCGCGTACAGGCGTATCCCACAAATTGTACCGTACGCAGTGTTTCGTGGGAAAAGTTTGAATGTCACTATACTGTAGCGTCATTGCGGAAAAAGTATAGATATAGGATGATTGTGAAAGCCTATTGCAAAAGACATTCGAAGTGTGACAAATCATTGCTGCGTCCATCGTAATTATACGGTATGGTAAGGTAAGAGAGTAGAACGCAGAACAGAAGAGAATTGGGGAATGCTTTAGAATTTCTTTTGCAACCAGGGAATTGGAATACAACTGTTTTGTCTATAATACCAATTACAATGGAACAATGTTTAAGCAAAGAGAACAATAATTTGTAGCGATTGTAGTACCACGTCGCACAGTGGACGATTTTTGATAATAATAAGAAATAAATTCCATCTTGATACCTTTTCGCGTTCCTGAGAAAAAGGGTCTTGACAGACAGACGGACGGACAACAAAGTGATCCTATAAGAGTTGAGTTTTTTTGCTTTCGGGGTACAGAACCCTAAAAAGTAACATAGAAGCCGACATTCCTAAATAAAACGCTATCGCTTATGACTACATCCTCAAGTTACAAGACTGAGTCACTGAGACAAGCACTGATAACGCTTATCAATAAAATATTTACGACTCACGTTTAAAGATAAACGGTTTATTTAACTATAGCGTGATCTATGTGCGTGACAATTTCATTTACGTTAATATATGTATAAGTTTATACATGCGAAATATAATTATAAGTACACCCATGGCTATTAATTACAAAATAACTGAAAAACTTTAATTCCATAATGGCCGCTGTCTATAGCGGAGACATGTGGGCGACGGTCGTCTGTTACATAATTTATGCATTCTATTACAAAGAAAATCTTGATTTGATCCTTTTATAACATTTCCATTTAACTTAATATAAAATCACACTTGTACTTTTGTCGATGACAGCCATTTTCATTGTTGTAGGATATTCTATAGTCTAATTATGCTACGTCCTTTAAACAGAACAAGGTCAGGGTCACATATTCATTGAGGATAAACTGAAGGTTGAAGAAAATACTTTGAAGCTAAATAAATATATTAATGGTTTTTTTAGTTTTAATTTTAAGCTAACATTATGTTACAAGTACGGATATTTATTTTATTTTTATCTTACGGCCGCGATTTGAGGTTAGTTTTTTAAATATCAGCAGCAGTTGTATTGTTTAAAATGGAAACTTTATTTTTGAAGGACATTGGGCCTTTTTGAGATATATATTACATGGTTTTATTTCTTTGTTTCAGGAGTATACGATTTCTTACGTGTTTTCACTTTCGTTACGGATAGAACAAAAACTTTTCATTGTCTGTATCGACGATAATTAACTATACGAATTAGAATTCAACTAATTTAAAGACTCTACGGCTATTTAACAAAAAAATTGACAATCATACATCTCATTTAAATATAGTAAGATTAGAACATATACTATATAGGAAATAACGATGAATGATGGAACATTTATAAAGAAGGTATTATTATTCGTGACGCAATATGACTATAAAGTGTTAAAACAACAGGCTAATTTTCGGCCGAATTTATAAAAATACGTTAACAGGCAAAATTAATAAGGATAATTTTATTTTTAATGCATATATTGGGCGGGAGACTTCATTTTTCGATAGTTTTATAATTTTTTGCAATACCAATGACAAAATAACCTCAAAAGCCAAAATAATAATGTTACGTCTTTGCACACGTGAGTAGCACACAAACCATAACCAAATTAAATCTTGAAGTTGTAATTGGCTGTTAGAAAATTCTTGAATATATAAACAAGGTTAAATGCGCTAGTACGTTACTAGCAGAATTATTTTATTGTGGGAAAACTGACACTTATCTAACTAATTACAAGTTTTAGAGCAGTGTAAAAATATTTTTTTTACATGAGTAACTATTAATTAGAGATCTTAAGTCTAAGGGCGTGTTCCCACTTTGTCGTGAAGGTTAATTTATCGTCTCGAGCTGTTCCCATTATAACGAACGGCTGTTTGATGTCAATTTTTTTCATCGTTTAGCAAGTATCGTACCTAGCTGTTCTTATTGGATAGCGACGATATTTTATCAATGATTTGTCGTAAAAGTATTGAAAAAATCATCACGAATTCACTCACAGAAATAACAGAAAAAAGTCGTAGGTAACAGTTAATTGTGTTGTCCTTTATATTAATTTCAACTTCATTTAAATAAATAAGCCACTACACTTAAAATTATTATCTGTCGTAGCGACGAAGTGGGAACGCGCCCTAAGTTCTTAGGTCTTTGGGTTAACGTTCACACATTTATTTCTTGTTTACTGCTTTAAAATATTTTTATCGTTGCTAAGATGATCATGTTCACATTTGTATACAATAAGCGATCGAAATTGCGAAACATCTTCTAGGTCACGGCTAAATGTATATTGGACAAGGCTGATGTAAAAATTAAAGTTAGTGTCCACTAGTGTCCACATCTCCACCAAAACGTCATGGTACTTTTTATTCTCGTTGATTTAATAGAGATAACGACATGTTTAAATTGGTATTTTGGTGTAGAAAAAATAAGTTCAGTTTTAAATGTTTAATTCTCTAGCTTTCGATTCAATTTTGCGATCAAAAAATACATTTTATAACCCAGTTTTTAAAAAGCTTACATATATGTTTTCTTTCGACATCATTTCTACTGTAAATATTTAGAAACGCAGACTAAAAATAGGACAACTTTGATTATTTTGGTGTTTTTGATAAAAATTGTTCGAAAGGGGACAATAGGATAGATTATTCTTGTTGTTAAAGATCAATTGCTACACTGGTTACTTGGTTATTAAGCCGCACATTATTTTTTTTTATTCTACATAAAGGTACAGCCTAGTGACCATAAATGACTCTAGTTTGACAGAGAATTAGTGGCAGAGTTTTTACTTTTTATAATCCTTTAATGAGAAATTTATTGTAATGAAACTTGTTTTACAGTAATTTTCCGATGTCATCCGGGAACTTAAATAAAATAAAGTCAATGTGACAATGTTTCAAGACAACTGTTATCTACGCAAGTCTGTAAACTGAACAAATTACACATGATCACTTTATAGATAACACAAATAGCCTGTAGAAGCCACCGTCACTAAGTATTTGCTTCCTTTGACGCTATAATTACCACGATAAAGGAATTACTAATTACTTTTTTATCAATAAAAACGTAGGCATATGTCGGAGACCCAATTCGAATTCGACTTTTTGATTGCATTAATTTCTTTAACAAAATTGGGAACTTTTTATACAATTGAACAATTGAAATAAACAATTCAATAAAATTTCTAGTGAAATTGACAAAGGCAATGCAAGGAAATGATGACAAGACTGCTGGACTCTTGGGTAAACGGGTCCATAAGTTATAGGGGACTTCAAAAATGGCGCCAAATGTAAATCTATAGACTCTTCGGGGTTACTTATTTGAGTGCTTATTTTCGTCATGCAATATTAATAACGAACAGATCGATTTACGACATTAAATTATGATGGGCCAACCCCACATACTTTAAGGCAGGAAAATGATAATAAATCTATAAGTTTCTATCAACACAATCCAACAAGCTGATATAGATTTTGTTATCTATACATAAGAAGGGAGACTAACCGCTAGGCAGCTGACGATATCAATTATATTGTATACGTGTAGCCGAGGTCAGAGCCGCGACAAAACATAACATTGTTGTATAGACACGCTTTAGACGACAACTCTATTATAATATTTGAAATCTTACTTAATACATATTATAAATACGAAAGTCCGCTGTATGGATGTTTGTTACTTCAGAACTACTGAAAACATTTGGATGAAATTTGAAACAGAAATAGATTACAACCTAGTTTATTTTTAAATCTCCTAATAGTTAAAAATATAAACAACTACGTGTAGTTAAATATTTTTCAGATAGTTTTACGGCGTCTTGCAATAATTCAATTGGATACTTTGTCTAAATAGAATCTTATTTTGTATAAATTAGTTATGAAAAATCAAATCGAGTGAATAGATATTTTTCGAGTCATACAAACATACGGAAGCTGCAATTTTATATATAAATACAATAAACAATGCACCGCGTGTTTGCTACAAAGCAATGCAGCTATTGTTGGCCGGATTAGTCATTGTGCTGTGAAAATAGCGCGGTGGATTAAAAAATCAATTTCTTTTATTGCAATGGTATAACTCTTCTTTGCTAGAATTGCCATCTTATTTCACGATAAGACTGAAATAAAACTTTATCATTATTCTACCCATTTCCCAGACGGAATTAGAGAGCCTCCGGTACTATTCAGAGCCCTGTCTTTAGGGAGTAATGTAAGTATTACGGTTAAAAAAATTGGATAGCAATATATGTCAATAATAATAGAAAAAAAGCACATAAAACGTAGTCTCAAATGACAATGATTGATTATATAGGTAAAAAGTATAAATTATAGAGGAAAGAATGTCCTGAACTTGACACAGATTTTGGGCGAATTGCCCAAATAATGCTAATGATAGCCGAATATGTTATGCACAAAACGTTTTGGGAATCGACTAAACAATATAAGCCTAATATTGTAGTTTGTGTTCACTTATCAAATTAGCGACTTTATCCTTATCATTTCAAAGCTTATAAGCATTTATACAAGTGTCGCTTGTACGTATTGTTACCAACAAATACAAGGCGTTACGTCATCGCACGCAATTAAATTACCGTCAAACACGTTCTATAAAGATTAATTTTTATGTGACTAATGCCTAAATACATAAACGTTCCACGAAGCGTGTGTACGAGACTTATAACTTTGAATTTTATAATACAGATTATTGGAATATTTTGATTAGTAATTTTTTTTTTATAGTTAAAAACAATACTGTCAGGTTGCAAAAATGTTTATTCTAATACAGAAGTCCCTGGCTGGATATATTTCCCTACAAAAAGTTCCTATTATTAATCACTTTTATGTCTTACTTGAACTATATGTTGGCTACTTTAGGTATAGAATGTTTTTATGTAGTTTTTATTAAACAGAATTTCATTGCTAAAAAGTAAATATACAGGAAAGTCACTATGAACATATAAAACAATTCACTCCATTAAAATAGCAAGAAATGAGGTCAATGGATACTGGGCCAAATTAATATCGTTTAAATTCTCCGCTATATTGATGTGCTAAATTCGTAATGTAACTATAACACTTTTTTCGTTCTATATTAAATGTTATTGTATACTTTAGTGTTGCTATTTCTACCGATTTTTTTTTTATTCCAACCATCTATAATTTCTTATTGATTATGTCATGCCAACTTTCTCAAATTTAACTATATTTTTTCTTTGATTTTTAACCCTAAGTTTGATTTGTATTTTACAATATTGAAATAAATCAATTTGTTATTAGGGTTCCGTACCCGGAAAGTAAGAAAACAATGGATCCCTTATAGGATCAATTTCTTTTTCTTTTTAATTTTAATGCTAATTTGTCATTACCAATTTTAAATATCATTGAATTTACATAATCGTTTTAATATTCAATCCAGTATCTATTCAAGGAGAATATTTAGTCTTTACTGTTTATGTGTCTATCGGCAAGATTTTTAAATTAAAATTCGTGTAAGATTGTTTGTATTCAAACTCTAGAACTTCAGATTGTAGCTGAGTTAGGCAGCTACTCAACTAATAGTACTTAATGACTTATTCAATCACTTATCGTCTCTCTAAACTCTATCATTTTTGAATTATGAATGTTTTATGTATTTACCAATTACATTTTAATGGCTTCATATTTATTGCTATTAAGATTATTATTTATAAGTTTATATTAGATATATAGATGCTATTTTATCTATAGCTCAGAATAAATTTAAGCATGGTAGTATTCAGGCTTTGTTAACATAAACAAGTGACCTTCAGAGGTCAATCATAATATGACAAATATGATAGGTTTTAAGGCAAATGCTGGGTTTCATATAAATATTGTGTGAGGTTAAGCTCAAATATTAAAGAGAGGACTTGTACTGTGATTCAATTATTTATTACAATTATGTACATGCCCTCAACAGCGAAAATTAATAAAAAAATATTACAAAGTTAACAATGAATGTTTCCATTGAAGCGGAACAAAACATGTGATACGCGGGAATGTAGTCAACGTACTTCGTGCAAGAATCATAGAATATGGGACTCACTTCGCTCACTGAGTTCGCTTTGGTACCATCCTAAATGCATTCGCTCTAGCGCCGGTTGGGCGCAGGCAGCTCTGAGAGTCACACACTGGCCGCTCGACCGGCCTTCGCCGCTAGCTAGAGGGCCGCTGACTCCGGGGCCATCAACGGAGACAGGGGACCCGCCACGCGACGGCCCCTCTCCACCTCGAACTTTAGGTCAGCCGGAGCCCGTCGTCCACTGCCAACAGTGCCATCTTCAGGTAGAAAGGCTGCTACAAGCAGAGCGCAAATCACCAGCAAGGCTCCCAATACGAAAGGTGGACCTGGCACCAATCTTACATATTTCTCCTCTGGTTTTCCATCTATACCAGTCACAGCATGCTCCTCATTGAGATCCACATGGAATAAATAGAATATAACTCCAAACATTGCTGGTCCAAGACCGTTACATAGTCCTCTCACTCCAGTTACCATTCCTTGTACCACACCCTGGCGGTCGGCCCGGCTGTTCACCGACACATATGCACTAATCGCTGGGTAAGTCAGAGATCCAAGAGCTGCAAGCACTCCTGCTGCCCACATCATCCATGTGCGGCTTCCGAAGCCATACCACATGAGCTGGAGCATTTCAAATAACAGTCCCACCATAATTGTATGTTTAGCTCCAAGTGACCGCATTAAAAATCCAAGCACTACTTGTACCGCAATGCTGAGCACTCCAACAATTGCTATGAATATAGCCACTTGTACTACACCAAAGCCCATAACTAATTTTAAATACACAAATATGCAAGAATACTGTCCGGCTTCAGGGAGGTATGAGAGGAACACTGCCACACACAACATCAGCACTGTACGTTCAGCACCAACCTTCCTTAGAGCGGCAAATGGGTCGGCCTGCTCCCAACTTATAGCAGGTCCCCAGCCACTCGGTCTCACTTTTTCTGGCAGGCTCTCGGGCACCGCTACCATTATGAAGAACACATCTAAGACCGCAACAGCCGTGGCGGCGGCTACGACCAACGCTTCGCCGTATAAATCCATGAGATAGGCGCCGAGGGCGGGCGAGATGACCATGCTTGCAGCGAAGGTAGCGGACACTAGGCCATAGGCTCGAGAGCGCTCCGCCTCTGTCGTTACATCAGCCACGTACGCGAACACAATAGAAAAAGTCACAGCAAACACTCCGCTAATACTGATCATCGCAAAAAACCACCAAGTGTTTATGGTCATGAGCGGGATCGGCGCGCACGTGAAGAACACCGTGACCAGCAGGAAGAACTTGCGGCCCCACACGTCGGACAGGGCTCCGATTAGTGGTGCTGACAGGAACGATAGAATGCCCTTGATTCCCATTATGAGCCCGTTCATCAGGAAGGTATGGTCCGGGAAAGTAGCGTTTAGCACTGATATTATTGGCATCGTTAGCAAGCCCCATGCGAAGAACTCCAAAAAGATGACAACTAAAGCGTGGAAGACTGAAGGTTCACCGATGCCCGACATTGTCATAATCCCCTCTTTCATAACAGTTTTTCTATTTCGTATCACCATTTCTACTTCAGTTTTTGTAGTCTTCGTGGGAGTCATTTAAGATTTAATCGATTTGTTTTCCTACCAAACTACTTATATTATAGACATATTGGAACCCTAAGCACTACATTGATGAAATCTATAGAAAACGCGTTATTGCCTTCAACGTCAAATAGTCACTGAAAATTGAAAAACAACTCAATATTTGTGTTGCTATATTAGGAATAAAAAACTTAAACATCAAAATATTGTCTTACACTAAAGTTGTAATATTATTAACGTATTCATTAATCGTAAATAAATATTTTTATTTTGATAACTTTTTTAATGATTTTTTTAAAATCTGATTTGGAATAAAAATGTCAACCATAACCAATTCTCTATAGCTCAAGTCAACGTCAACTTCAAAACTCAATGAAAAGGAGGCGTATTCTTATAAATTGAATTGTAGATTTTCAATATCTTTTAATAATGGTATTTATTTGAAATTATGGAAAGCAATATGTAATCTTTTAACATTTATAAGAGAATATGACTGTGTATTTACTTATTGCAGATTCGTTTCATCCTCATTCAAAACCGTGCTGGTAAGACACGTCTTGCAAAATGGTATATGAATTTTGACGATGATGAAAAACAGAAATTAATTGAAGAAGTACATGCAGTAGTTACTGTACGCGATGCGAAACATACTAATTTCGTTGAGGTATGAATCTACAAAATTCAACACAATACGTTTTTACAAGCTTTCATTTGATCCCCATTCAAAGTTGTTTTATATTTGACTAAACAACTCCATACATACATATAAATTCCTTGGCTAATACATAGTTCATACTATATATTTTCAGTTTCGTAACTTCAAAATAGTGTACAGAAGATATGCTGGTTTATATTTCTGCATTTGTGTGGATGTAAATGACAACAATCTGTGTTATCTGGAGGCAATACATAACTTTGTGGAGGTGCTCAATGAATATTTCCATAATGTATGCGAATTGGATTTAGTATTCAACTTTTTCAAGGTAAGAAAGAAAAAATGTGTATCCAATTAGTAACAGTAGTAAGATTTGACTATAGATCTGCTATTTTTTGTTTCTCTAAAAATTTCAAAAGAACAATTTGTGGGTTTGGACTTAGGCAGTCACAGTTGTAAGTTAACACAGACATAAAATAAACATTCTTTTTGTCCTAAAACTTGGAATTTTTACTGTGAAAGCATCTGTAGAATGTGGAAAAAGTATACTTTACTAAATTTTAACTTCAACTTTCAACTCAGTGGTGTCACAATATGAATATAGTGTTGTCAGTACCATTATAAAATCTTTCCCATGTAGTCACTTATCCAATACCATATTTTCAGGTCTACACAGTTGTTGATGAGATGTTCTTAGCGGGAGAGATCAGGGAAACATCTCAGACCAAAGTATTGAAGCAGCTGCTTATGTTGAACTCTCTAGAATAAGCAATGATAAGGCTTGGTTATGCTTGTAAGCTTATAAGTAATTGTGTAGAGGTTTTGTGAATGTTACATAATTGTTATGTAGTATCGTCAACACATATGTAGGTAACTATGTTGTGTTTTCACATTATGTAAGGGATGATAATTTTTTTTACAAAGTTTGTAATGAAATTTACAGTTACATACACAGTTATTGATACTCCAAATTGATTTGGCTTATGAACATTTTATATAAGCCCTTTTTGTGTAAAAAAATAAATTCCAGCTTGATACCTTCACTCATTCCTGAAATAAACATTCTTGACATACAGACAGATGGACAACAAAGTGATCCTATAAGGCTTCCGTTTTTTCCATTCGAGGAAACCCTTAAAAATGATCACTTTTCTCATTAAACAGATCTTGAGTTTAAAATTTTACTTTTATTATAATAAGCATTAAGATCTTTGTCTGTTAGAAATATGTTTTTTTTTTACGTTTGATAAGCCAGTGCTTGACCACCATCCCACCTGGTGTTAGTAAGTGCCTATTCACTCTACTTTTGAAGGTCCCAACATCATATTTGGACGGAAAAACAAATGTTAGAAAATATCTACAGATGGTCATTAAAGTTAATTAGATAGAATATTTTCCAGCTTTAAAGATAAATGTATGTATTGAAACACAGAACTTATTCATTCAAACTTGTTGAGACATTTTGTCCTTAGCGCTGAATAGTTTCCGAGACCATTGGAGAACCTTTATCAGAGAACCCCACTCATCCAAGTGGTTTAGCTCTTATATATTATTTGTTTTAAAATTTTAAATTGACTTTTCAGGTTCAGTATTGTTCTCAACTTTTAGTCAATGTTTGATGTCATAGTAAAAACATAGTTTATATATTTGAGATTAGGATGTTACAGTGCTGATTGGTATGTTAGCATTAATTTTATATGTATATAGGTGATATGTATGATCTTTTGTGGAATTACTATATTTTTATATGTGTTTAGTTACTTTTAAGATATATTGCTGTCTCCTAAAATCCTGCTTCAAAATATTACGAATAATTTTTAAAAAAGTGCTGGAGATGACAAAAATCTTAAGTTTCTTCTTGCATGTGGGTAGTTTAAAATATTCTAGATGTGAAACGTATTTAAATGTTTATTATCATATAGTTATTAAGTGTTAAATAAAACATGTATCTTTTTAATTGATTTATTCTTCGATCTTATAAAAATGTATATAAACAAAACATATGAAACATAATTTGTTTTTTATTTATAGCAAAAAAAAAAAATATCAAGAAAACCGATGCTAAAATTTATTACATTTCAGTAAAATACTACTAAAATTATTTTCCCAGTTATAAGTTACATAATTAATGGATATTTTAAGAACTTTGCGCTTAGCACAGATTAAGAGAACATAATTTAAAAAAAAATTATGAAATTTGGCGTTTAATTTCCGTCCGCTAGATGGCGCTATCTCATGTCACAAAAATTTGTACGTCTATACGAATACTATTTTACGAATTTACGTGCAAATTATGTCATAGCTTTCATATATGCACTAATATATTTGTACTTTACTGAACACATTTAACTTCATTAAAATTAAGATTTATTGTAAAATATGTAATATAAGTCAGTCTTATAAATTTCTAAACCCTTTGGCTTATAATTAGCGATAGTGTTTGGGCTACGTCCACTCCCAATGGTGTATGATAGGCTGGAAGGCCCACACGTCAGGATGACCTATATGCGGCAAGTGGGGACCCATGTCAAATTCACTCCACCTAGAATTAATAAAGCGTCAATAGCCTAATGGTTAAGGGTACGGATTTCCGATCACGAGGTCGGGGATTCGAATCCCGCCATTCGACTATTGTCGTAAACCATATCCTAGCACAAGTCTAGAGCTTAGTTGGAATGGTAAAAGAAATACTAGTAATTTATAAAAAAAAAACTAATATTTTACAAAAAAAATTAATAATTGTTCTTATTTGTCATATTTTTAGCTCTATTTTAACAATTTTAATAGTGATCTTTGAAATAATCCTGCTCGAAGGATCATCTATAATTTACCTGCGTATGTTTAGAGTAAATTACCAATATTAATGCTACACTAAGAATCTCCTTCTATTAATAGAACATAGGAGGCAGAATCTATTAGTATTTAAAATGAACGAACGCAAATGGCGGTATTCCTCGCGAGATGTTAAACGTTGGTCCTGAGACAGCAACAAACTCGTAATTCTTGCGAAGATGCCAACTTGTCACTTTGGCATCAGTGGCGCCATGGCTTCGGTGGCCCAACGCTCGGAACGGAAACGTACCTATAGGAAATACATATTGGCAGATTTAAAAATTAAAAGAAAAATCGTTAGTCAAACATTGGTTACTCTTGGTCAACATTGTTTGTCGTAAGAATATAAATGGATAGGCGATTGCTTGGAAGTGACTGCTTTAACTCAGTTCCGATTTAAACGCGCCTGGTGATGTTATGTCACAGTTATTTCTGTCTATGTTATTAGTTTGAATTCACACAGCTGCTACAAAGCGCTACCATCATCGCCAAAATGGTGAAAATCAAATACGCACAAAATACTTCGTTACATAGCCGGTCCATTTATAGAAATAAGTGTTGACAATGACAAATGTTGGGCAAACATTTGGCGTGACAATTGAGTAAGATTAGTCTAAAATTATTTGAACATTGGTCAAACATTTGTACGTAGTTACCGTTGGCGGGGTTAAGATCGTTGCGCGCTGCGATGGCGTTGCACGCGCTGTACGGAGGCACGCATGCGCAACGTGACAACGGATCATGCTTGAAGTCGTTGTAACGCATCGTATTGAACATGTCCTTTAAGTTTGTTATACCAGCCTGCATTAATAACTAAATTATATAAAATGCTAACAGAAATAAATTAAGTAAAGTTTAAACATTGAACGTGGATTTCTGAGACCAGAATCTTTACATAAAACTCCTATCCTATCGTCATCTTTAACACAACAGAAATAACGTTTTAAACGGGGATTTTGGTCTCGCAAACCTACGGTGAAACGTTACATAATAAATCCATAGACAATAAATGTCATTTTCAGCCAGTGATATGATGTAATAAATATTTCCTCGATGATTTTTTTCTACATACTCGCTACAAACAACATAAGATACGCATCATCACCTGTTTTTCCTTTAAAATATTAGCTCGTGGATTTGTCTTGTATCCGAACCAATCACCGAATGTAGCGACTCTCACATTGCCGCCGCTCAGATTGAATATAGTGGGGAAGTACGGTATGTTGTAAGACGGGAAATAAGTCGTGTTCACCAATTGTTCCGTTCTACGTAACATATAAATCTAGTCTCGTATCTAATTAAAATAAAATACATCTTCTTTCTACTCGAGGGACGGTTTTAGTATTTCCGACGCACTGGGCGAGATTGTTGCGGCGCTAGGGTAAATTAGAAGGCACCGCAGACGCCCTTTTATATCCAACTTTGACGCCTCTTATGCCTGTTGCCCTGGGCGGCCGCCCCGTCTCGCCCTACCCCAACATCGCTAGTAACTTGTTACCAATAAATTTCAAAAATAATTTTATCAGTTAAGGTGACTCACAAGTCAGCAGCCTCCGTGTACCCCGGCAGCTGTTCTATCACCCAGAGCAGACCCTTCTCAGCTTTACCCTTACACACTTTAGAGCTCGGTGTAAACTTATTATAGTCTACAATATACCTGGCACAAAACAATAATGAAAATTAATTAAAAGTAAAAAGAAAAAAAAACAAAAGAAACGTCAAACTGACATTTCGGACCAGAATTCAAATCCAATGGCATACATCACCAGAATAATTCAAGTTACAACTATCGGAAGAATGGCCCAAGGGGAAAAATCCATTGGACCTATTGATCGGCCCAACGGGAAACTCATATAAATATATATTGTCAGTAAGGTATAAAAATGGCAGGCTTCTACCACACCGTGCCGTGTAAAAGATTTTTTTTTTATATTGGGACTTTATATGCTTTCGCGTCAGTTTAAGGTCTGAAAGGTAATTGTTCTTCACCATTGGTTGTTATAAGTGCCGCTGTTGTGCTGGCGGAAGATCCTTGTCCACTGGTAGCCGTCGACAGCCAGACGATTGGCAATCATGCCACGAATGTACTCCATTACCTAAAATTTTACAAATAAAATTGTAAAAGACTATTTTATATTAGTTAAATAGTTTTTGAGTTTAATAGTTAGAAACACACAAAACTACAAATCTTTTGTTCATTATGAAAAATCCTACTTCTTATAAATATTATAAATGCGAATGTTTGGATGAATGTATGTGTATGGATGGATGGATGTTTGTTTAAAATGTATCTCTAGAATGCTGTAATTTGGGATATAAGAAGGGCATAGTCTAAAAAACACATAAGCTACCAATATTTTTTTTTATTCCATACGGACATAGTCGCGGACGTCAGCTAGTATTTTATATAATTGTATGTAGTTGTATGTACTCACACATAGTGGGTTGATGAGATCAAAGAGAGTCTTGTTGCTGTTGCTGATGGTGGTCTCCCCGGCGACCAGGCCCGTCGATATAATGTAGAAGTCGTCTGTGGACTGCCGCAATGCACTCATGTACTAACAAACAAACATACTAACTTTTTCATAATACCTACACAATTAAATATTTTTAATTTCACCAGATACATAAGAATGTCACATAATTATATTTAAACTATTTTAAGAGAGTTTTATAATTATATTTGACAAACACATATGAAAAATGGGTCAAAATATTTTGGACCAACAATCCAATATGTTCCAAGTTATAAAAATCGTAGTAACATTGAATGTGTTAAATGTATTTAGGTAAATTTTGTATGGATTAAAGTCAACAGTGATACTAACACACCTGCACGAACGCAGGGTAGGAGGTGAAGGCCATCTTGTACCCGGGGATGCGTTTCTTATCCAGCGGACTGACTTTGTAATGTAGTACATACATTTTCTGCAGCCGTAGCATGGACTGGTAACTGATAATAAAAAAAAAACATAATATACTTAATAAGTAATATAAGAGAATGAGACTCTTCAGTCCAAATGTTCATATCAAAAGTACATAAGAAAATATCTACATGACCAGATAATTTAAACACATTGGTACATAGCTGGGTTCGAACTTATGTACCAGTGTGTTTTATTTTCGAATTTCGTATGTACATTTATCCGACATTATTACTGTGAAGTCATTGTGTTCAAACCAGCACATAACTGCAAAGACATTTAAAGAAGTATAAAATCAACCAAGCAATACTGGGCCAGAGTGTTTGACTATAGACAATCCTAATTTCAATTGGCTCCGAACCCCACGGTAGGGATAAATGAGTTGATAACATTACATGTCTTACAGTGAACGAGTTGAAATAATTAAACACTTGTGCTAATATAAACTCTTAGTCCAAAATACCTGTTCCAAGTTGCATGTGACGTATATAGATTTCTGAAGTCTGGTAAAAGCTTTATTAGTCCAGTGCAGTGATCTCCGAATAGCAATCCATCTGGAAGGTCCTTTGGTAACGCAAGAGAGAACGCCAGATCATCAAGATCTCCCAACATGTTGATCCAACTAGAATTATACAGATATTTTACTAAACTGTTTATCTTTTAGTAGGTTTTATATATTTTAATACTAACACCATATCCCGTGCAGTTAGCCATTGGTAGGGATCTGACGTAGCTTGATTGTACCCAACCGCTAATCCTTCCAACTGAATGTAATATAATTTTACCTGCAATATGTATTATGTTTATATTGGTCCTAAACATTCTATTTATTTAATTTAATCATTTTTAATGTGCCGGTAATAAGTCTAGATTAGTGTAAGTTACATAAGAATAATAAGATACATAAATTATAATTTTTATATTATTTTATCCATTTATATAAAAATAATATCCTAACTTTCGACTAAGACTGTCCATACGGAATTAAAAATAACTTAATATAGCCTATGTGCTCTTGCAAACTATGATCTACATCTATGCGAAATTTCATTGAGAACCCGTCAAGCTTTTACGAAGTTACCTTCTTTTAAACATCCATCCATCTCTCCAGATAAACATTCTCAGTTAAAATAATAGTAACATTACAGTGACATCAATGTAAAGATAACAATATTAATTTCCAGTTATATCTATTTAAGATAAGATACAAGAATAAGTACATACTTGATACCAGTATGCATCTATTTCATTCAAATCAACCATAGATGCGATGTAATTCTCATTTTTTTCAATAAATTCTTCAATAAGTCCGCACAAATCAGTTTTGTTGTAGCAATACCTATATTATATAAACTATATTTATCCAGTCATAAGTAAAAGATAAATATTTTATAGGCAAAAATCATTTAGGCAAATTAAATCTTGTCCTTTTTGAACTTGGTTAGTAAAATATTTAATAGATTTACTCTATTTTGATTCTAGTGTCAACTATTAATACACTATGCTATTACAATTTTTTTGGTATAAAAGTTATATAACCAGGATTGTGAGCAAGGCACTGAGTGTGTTGAAAAATTTAAACTCTTGTTTATTACTTTTATTTTCATAAACAATAAATTAAATTTTAACTGATGTAAGACGCATTAGGTAAGTATTTAGCTAGTTAAAACTCAAAAACTACCTGACCCTTTAAGCATGTTCTGCCAATGCATCCAAATGAGATCTCTGGTGAGGTAGCCTTCAATAAAGCCTGCGGCATATGCCTGTTGTTCATCTGTTACATCTTTTGATGTGTGTAACTCTAAGAACGCCCATCTGAAATGTAAATAATAAATATAAACCAAGAAACTGTACACATCAAACCTTTAGAACATTAGTGGAGACAAAAAAGTGGGAGTTAACGACAATTTATATTGTTTACTTACCCAGTTGAGTTTATTTCGTTTTTAAAAGTCGCACGAGCTCCATATGAAATAGGTATTTGTGATGCAGACTCGCATTCTTTGAACGTTAATTTGTTCTCCTGCCAAGTTACGTATCCGTATTTAGTTTCACATGTTGATACAGTTGTTATTAACAATAAACAACATCGCCAATAGATCTTCATAACTTCACGGTGGATATGTCATTACTTTCCGAAGTATTTGGCACCATCTACTACTAATAAATTATGTGATAAAATATAACCACAGTAAAAAGTTTATATAAGTAATATGTTTAGCAATAATACAATAATCTACAACATTAAGTAAAATCTCAGGATACAATCAAAAATCCCTCTTCAACTTTGTTTTGAAGTTTGAATTGACAGTGACATAGATAACGTTGTTGTTTTTATTATTCGCTCGAGAGAGCAGACAAAGGAACTAAGCCATACAGCCTTGTCTTTTTATTAACAACGACATAGATAACATTTTGACATTCTGTCAAGTTTCTGATCAGTTTAAAATAGACTTTCATATTCTGTTGATTTTACAACATTAGAATTATTTAATTTTTTTAAACTTTATGATGAAACTTAAACTAACTTAATTAACTTTTGGTGTATCATGTTTATCATGAATGAAAAGAATAAAAAAAAATACATATTAAAACTAGTCCTTCATAATACTTTAATAAAAATTTAACAAGTGCTAACTGAAAAGTTTTTCACTAGAATTTTGTCTACATTGTCTATCACAACAATATGGTCACTGTTGTAAATTCCGCACTTCTCAAGTGGCCGACAACTTCATTCCCATTTCGCCACACTTGTAGTCAATTTCTCGCATAAGGTAGGGGATGCGTTCATGGCTTGGAGTCTTCATCCACTCTGATACATTGATGGACACCGCAACATAGCCTTGTTTCTCCAGCGTATCCAACACTAACCGGAAAGTACCGCGCAGACGATTACTATTCATTGAATAACAGCCCTGGTTGAACATAAGAAGGCAAGTACTGAAAAATAAAAATTTTGATTTAAGTGAGATTCGCTTTAGGAAAAAAGTGCAATTATTAGAAGTTGCAGGTATATAACTTACGGGAGCACATCTATAGGTAAATTAAGATTTTCTATTAGTACTTTTTCATTTTCTTGTGTATATTTAGGTATCACTACGGGGGTGCCATTTTTCAAAGCTAGTAATATATCTAAAAAATAAGAATAGTTTTTAATAACACATGAAAATAAGTATAAGCCCAGGTGTATTGTCAAAACTCACCAGCAATGAATCCATTTGGCAAAACTACATTCTTCGCCAAGTACTCTTTGCCACCCAAACCTCGAGCCAAATAATTCATAACATTATCTGTTGCTGCATGAATTGGGTATGCGTCTTTTGCCTTTTGTATAATATCCTGAGGCAATTTATATTCATCACTATAAAAAGCATTTACTGCTTCATGTAAGGTAAGAAGTTGAAGCAAATCTAGAGTATTCTTTTCACGTGCGAGATATTCAATCAGGAATTTTTCGGAGAAGACTTTTTCAAGGAGTTTATCATCGTAGTGACCGAGTGAGGCAAGCTCAAGACAAACTTTAGTCCAAGGCAACGCTGCGTTAGTGGCACTCAGGATTGGGTTCTCTGATATATTTTGGCGAATCACATCCCATTGGTCCAGATCAGGAGTGTAGTTGTTATTGGACAAGCAGTTGATGAAACTGAAGAGAATATTGGTGCGTACGGTGGACAGGTTGTTTTCTTCATTTAATGCTAGGTTACAGAGATACTCCATGAGACCTAAGTGTGTGTGGGCCTAAAAACAATTATTTTATCATGATTATAATATAAAAAATCCACATTAAATTTAAGTATATAATAACTTGATGTGGGTATCAAATGTCAAGTTGCTTGCAGGCTTATTTATCATTTTAAATAAAAAATATACTTACAACTCTCGACAGCACCCTTGCGATCAGTAAGGCTGGCTCAAATTCAATATTATTCCTGATGACGTAATCAGCAATAGCGTCTAACAGCTGTTCCTGGTAGTACTCCGGATGCTTCTCCAGTACTCGACCCTTTATCTTGGCGACAGTTCTAAGCACCTCATTATAATGTAACTGGTCTATCTGTTGTGCTATTATGTCATAGCAAATATGTAATAGTTGGACTCTAGTCGGAAAGACCTTCTCTGTGCAGTTAACTTGGCACAAAGACCAGACTATAGATTTGGCGGTTTGGGCGTCTATTCTCTGGTCGTGTAACAGAAGACCCGTAACCACGTTGTTGATACAACGGTCTGGTAAATCATGATTGCAACTGTAGATCAGCATATCCCTTAGAAGAGGCAGGTCATCATTGTCTAATTCTAATGGTAAATGAATTTGAAACGTAAGTGGCAATGCCAGCTTCAGTACGTCTACTAAATGATTCTTGCTGTCAAATTGATCTAAAAGAAAGTCTAAGAACATAATCTGTCTTATATTTATAAGGTTTATATTTGTCCGTATTAACTGCAGCATTGTTTGTAGAATCAGGGAGTCAACGGGAACCCTCAGAAATGATAGTACTTTAACAGCCTCGATAGCTTCATTAACGTCAAGGGCTCTTGCATGTTTTTTAACATTCTGACAGAGTACACTAAATGTTGGATCTTTTATGAGTTCATCAGTTTGTTCAAATCTGGAATAGAAAAAATATTGGGTGTACAAAAGTTACAGAGAGCAATGGAGATAGAGTATGGCAACATTTGAAATTATAAAAAAAGATAAGACACCCTAAAATCGCCTAAATAATAGCAGCAACACAAAACCAGATTATATACAAACATGGTAGGATTTTACATAATGTATAAAGTTCTAACTTGCCAGACTTCTGCAGTTCAAAGAGACTGCGCAGAGCTTGAAGAAGATGCTTGTGTGTCATTATAGGGAGGTGTTGCTGTACTGTGGCAAGGATGTTCTCTGGTGTTGGTGCAGTCTTAATGCTTGTCATTATTGTATCCGTATTTCTCACCCAGCCAACTTCAGACACTAAAATATAACATCTTTTATTCTTGACTCATAATAGAATTATACGGCCTTATATGTGTTAAAGCTAATTGAAAATCTTACAGCTTGTTGTGAAACTTGTTGCTTTAAATGGCGTTTTAGTAAATGAGCTTCCACTCAATACATTCCTCCAAACATTCTTCAATATTTGAGCCATGTTATCTGATAAAAAAGGCACACAGTTATTACATATTTAATAAAATATTGTATACAACTGTGGAGAAATATTTCGTACCTGTTAATTTGAAAACAAAATATAACCACAATTGAAGAATTGATAAATAGATTTTTTTTAACCTATTATCGGAGTTATAGAATAAGTCGAGCTGAACTTTCGCAAAAATACTTAATTACAAATAGAACGTCATTTTTGTTAAACATAAAAATATAACAATAACAAAATAAAATTAACAAAAATTCAAAATACATTCGCAGAATTTGACATTGACACTTGTCTTGTTTTACCACAGATAGATGGTATACCTATCACCAAAATTAAAAGAAAAACCAACTGCAAGAATTAGTAATTTTTTAAGGAAAGCGTCACATTTTTTACAAAAACAAGATTACCTACAATTTGTTTAGATCCTACCAAGTTCCTACACTTAATTTTTTTAAAGCTAATCATGTATTTTACTGCAATTTGGCAACTTTTCGTTGTCTGCAATTATGTGTCAATGTCACTGTCGAAACAAACAAAACAGAAAATAAGAAGTTAAAAAGTAACCTTTGTTTTGCCGACTTGTTACTAAAGTTCTAACACACTTAATTTAATAAGTATTTAAAACTGTCAATGAATACACTGTCCTAAAAAAAACAGACACATTTTGCATATCTAGCAAAATGCTTCAAGAATCAATAGTAAGTACCAGGCCTGATAGAGAAATAACGAAGAAAATTATTACACCGGGTGATTATTCTATCGTGCCATACGAGGAGTCTCGATGTAAAATTGAACTTTCAAATGTAAGACACACTAATGAAGATGTTAACATAGATGTAGAAAGTCGTATACTAAGTAAAAACTTTGATGGCGTAGTTATTATTGGGGAGGCAGATTCTTTTATCGATAAAGATTTCGAGTTGATTCTCCAACAGATGTGTTGTGGTGAGACATGTTTTGCAAGAATTGTTTATAAAAATCAGAAGTGTGAGATAGTTAAAGAGATATCATGCGAGATTGAGTTGAAAGAAGTTACTGAGGAACAATTAGTGAGTGATTGGAGTTGGGCAAGATTACTTGAAGCTGCAGCACATCATAAAGAGCGGGGAGTTGCTTTGATACAAGAGAAAAGAGTTGTAGATGCATTTAGAAGGTTTAGCAAAGCATTTAAGTTTTTAGTAGCCATAGAACCTGTGAATCCGGAAGAAATTAATGATGAATCATTGCACGAAATAAAGGACTTAAAGGTATGCTCATTCTGCTCCTAATACAATCCAAGTGTATTTATATATATTTCAGGTTAATTATTAAGAACATATTCAAATATTTTTCTTATTTTTATTTCTTAATATTATTTACTAAATACTTTGAAGTTAATTTAGAAGATATATGTTTATAATGCTTTTTTTCAGGTGAAACTATACAATAACTTGGCACACTGTCAACTACAGTTTTGTGAATACGAAGCAGCATTAGAACTCTGTAATCGTGCAATATCTCTGGATAATGATAATGTGAAAGCATTATACAGACGTTGTACTGCGTACCATTGTCTTAAGATGTACGAAGATGCATGGAAAGATATACAGAGAGTGATAATATTAAATCCCAATGACAAAGCAGCACGAACTAAAGCCGGTGAACTGAAAGGAATAGTGGAGAAAATAAATGCAGAATATGCTAATGTTATTAAAAAGATGTTTATTTGAATTTTATCACAACAAAATTGTGCTTAGTCTAGATAAGTATTACAGTCATTTGACAATTTAAGATTTTTTTTTTAATTTTAAGATATTAAATGATTGTACTTTATGTCAAAGTAATTTATAAAAACTAGATGGCGCTAATTCATAGGTTTTGAACACTTTGTTTTTTTTATTTTTGTTTAAAGTTTGCTTTCAAATATTGTAAAAAAAAAGTGTCTTAAATAAATATATTTATATAATCTATTTAACTGTTTGAAGTTTATTTATACCATTTAATTTTTATTAATTTTGAAAATAGTATTAAGTGAAGCAGTTTATTCCTGGGGCTGTTGAGTGCGATGACGTAGACAGAGCGTGACGTCATAAGCTGTTACGCCAAGTGTTGTCAAGGAAAAAAATCAATTTTATTGCTCATAAATAAAAATATTTCCATCATCAGCCGCCAGATGGCCTGTACTAAAATGCTTCTGTCATTATGACGACAAAAAAGAAGGCATCTCTCTGGATCATTTACTTTGGAGTTCTGACCAAAGAGTATAATAAGTATACTATGGTTCTGACCTCAAAATCCTCATTAAAAACATATTGTTATATCTGTGTTTTTTTTTTAATAATGACAGATGATGACTAATTTTTTATACAGAGATTTTGGTATTACAAATACGCGATCAGCTGACAACTATTGCTCAGAACAATTTTTTTACGGATTGTGAACTTTGTCACTATATAGAACAATAAGAACTAGATGCATAACAATGCGTGCTAATTATTTATCTAATGTATTATTCACGGCTCAACAACTTCCGGCTGTTTAGAAATTTCCCGCCATCTGCTATGTTTAATATCAAAATGTTTTATACCTATTTCGTACCCAAGCGCCAAATTCAGTACTTATACCTAAAACTCAAACGATTTGATTACGTAGTTCATAAAACTAAGAACAGAAAAACTACCAAGTTGACGGACTACTCTAATAAATACTTTGTCGATCTATTTATAGCTTAAATATGCATTATATTTTGAAATTCGTACAAGACTCTTGTATACGAACATGTTTGTTTTCTCTTTTTATTCCAATGAGATTGATAGGGACGACAATAGTTTACACTGTCGTAATAAAGGTATTGAAACAGTGGAGACTCATAATGTAAATCTCTCGTGTGATATCACCGGAGTCGCGTAGTACTCCAGCCGATCCGATGCTGACATCATCAGTTGACCTCACGCCTTGCCGAATGCCCTGTCCCGTGCTGTAGTGATGTCCATTTAAACTATCGATTCAATTTTAATATGTTGAAAAGAATAACTGAGTCTAAGTAAAATGTAATAATATTTTAGTAAAAAAATAATTATTTTTTTACTACTATGTTATATTAAATCGGTAGCAGCTCCGATTCTATTAAATTAAAAACAAAAAACTGTTAATACGTTTAACAATACGATAAAGTTATCAGTTTTTATATATAAGATTAACATTTCAAATTTGATTTTTGAAGGGATCGAAACATTAGTAGCAATTCAATTATACCTAAATAAACCGTCTCATTTAATTCTAACCGTAGCGACATCTAGTGTAGAAGCGATAAAGCGTATGCCCTTTTTAATTTTAGGATACGTAGGCGCGTATCGATAAGTTTTTAGTTGGTGCGTACCTAGTGCTTCTACAATATAAACAGTCTAGACGCCGTCGCGCCCGCGTTAACGTGTCTACCTTGAGCTCGTTATTTACATTCTCGTTTATATTGTGAAGTGTTATAAATGTCTAGTGAGTAATCATAAAATGTTTATCAATACATTTGTTCATCACATTTTTGAAGCTTTTTCCGATAAAAATTACAAGTTAATGTCATTGTTATTGCTCAAATTGTCTTCCAAACGCTGTTGTTCGTAAGCAAAAATATTGACATATAAATTATTTCCCATGATCTCATTTAATATATGCGTAAAATGGAAGTTAGTTTTTTTTTAAACTTTAATATGAAACAAAAATGAAACCGTAAGGTTTATGTCATTGTTTATGCGTCTGACTTTGTAACTCAAGGTCGGGGCTTCAAGCCCTTGTCAGATTTGAACGAATAACAAATGTAAATATATTGGATTAATCCTGTATATAATATAATTCTTGTGGATCATTTTTTGAAGTATATATACTAAAGTTAATTTCATTGTTTTATTTTTTAGTTTGCAACAAAGTGCTCACAGACTTGAACATTGTTGAATTTATACTTACTCGTGGTTATGACATTGAATTTTTAAACTTAATTACATGAATATGAGTCAGGTTTATAACTCACAATTTTTAAATAAATAAATGCAGTTTTGGGTGTTAAAGACGTTATTATAGCAGCACTGGTTTAGTGATTAAACTTTGATATTTGGTTCTGACGGTCGCAAGTTCGAATTTAAAACAATAGCGGTGTGATTTCGATAACTAAATAACTATCTACATATCTTACTATGATTTTAATGTCTTACTTCTTACTAATATTATAAATGAAAATGTTTATATGAATGGATGGATGTTTGTTTGAAGGTATCTCCAGAACGATCTCGCTGAAATTTGTCATAGATGTAAAACATAGCTTAGAAGAACGCATAGGCTAATTAAGGGTTTTTTTTATTCCACGGGGACGGTGCGGTCGGGCGACAGCTACATAAAACATAAACTAGGATTAAGAAAGGACAAAGTATCACCAACAGATTTAACATACCAACCAAAATTAAACACTATCTTTTATAGTTGAAAAGATGGCTACAGATTAGAAATACATATATCTAATAAATAACAGTAAGGGAACAATGACGTATGTTTCCGATGTAAAGAAAAAATCTAGCACAGTTTTATGATTTCGTAAATATCTATCACGTTAGAGAAGCTATAAAATATTATATATTGAGGAAAAGCCGCGACCAAAATGTAAAAATAAAAACTGGTTATTTAAAAAAAAGGAATTCCCCGGTAATAGTTCATAGACAAAACCAGTATCTATTTTATATTATATTTTATTTAATTTCATTAAAGATTCCCGCTAAGAAGCATAATTTTGATTCCACAGACAAATAAGTGTTTGTTTTTTTTAATGGAATATGGTGGCATGACATGACATTTAGTGGTCGGTCGAAAGGCTATTTGCAGAAGCTAAAGCGGACTACCATTGTTGGAAATACTTTTGTTAAATTCCAGAACCTTCTGAAAAGCTACTAGAAGGCAAAGGGCTGCAGATAATCAGCCCTAGGCCAGATCATACGTTTGAGCTCGATGAGAGGAGCCTCGCCGAGCTACTGGACAGTCCTGACATCAGGAATCGCTCCGTGGTCCTCGTGGCGGTCGCTGGCGCTTTCCGTAAAGGAAAGTCCTTCCTTCTAGACTTCTTCCTGCGTTATTTACATCACACGGTCAGTATTCAGTGACATGCATTCAAAATTGATAACCTTCTCTTTTTGGGAGATTAATAAAAATTAAGTCAGTCAATATAATTGTAATTGAGCTAAAAATAATGTCATCTACATAAATAATTTATGTTCGTTGATAATATGTTACGATTTCCAAATGAATCCTGGAAAAATAACGTTTAAAACAGCAATAAAAGTTTGTTGGTTCCTTTAATTTTGCTTATATTGTTCGTTAATTTTCAGTACGTGTTGAACTCAAAAGATGACAACTGGTTGGGTCCAGAAGACGAGCCGCTGCAAGGCTTCAGTTGGCGCGGCGGCTCCGAAAGAAACACCACCGGCCTCCTGCTGTGGTCACAGCCCTTCAAAGCCACCCTCGAGAACGGAGAAAAAGTATAGTGCATTTTTTTTCATTTAAATCGGATTTAAACGAATCGTTATTTAATTTCTTTTTGTTAATATTGACCTCTATACATGAACAGTCTATAAACCTGATATTTTGTGTCTATTTGATTTTCCTCATTTTGGCGCTGACGGTTGCGGTTGGTAGCGGTGGTGAGGATTTGAACTAATAATAGCAATAGAAATCGTTGTCAGGAACTTCAATAAACGCTTTTAGGTAGGAACGAAGCAAAAGCTGTCATATCCTATCTATTTATAGAGAACAGTGTTTAATAATTAGTTTTGTCTACTAGCTTAGTTCTTAATTTTGTCCACAAAACTTAGTCGTATTGTCGTCTTTGTCTTCACCTTGAACAAACCATAATGCAAGGCGGACAAATAAAGTAAAACAGGATTGGCGGGAAAACTAATAATTTAAATATTTATCTCGCCAAATTAAAAGTATAGATGCATAGAAGGCTATTTAATATGTGTTAAATTATTATTATGTAAAATATAACGAAAACAAGTTTTGTTAAATAAAATTATAACAACGTTAGATGCCTTCATTTATGAATTTATTGCATCAGGCCGGGATTTACATTTATGTCAGCTTTAGAAAAAACAATGTTTCCCTTAAATAAGAATAAAGATAAACGACTGAACGTTGTCAGGTGGCGATATTCTTGATGGACACGCAAGGCACTTTCGACAGCGAATCGACAGTGCGTGACAATGCAACTGTGTTCGCGCTCTCCACCATGATATCCTCCGTACTCATATACAATTTGTCACAAAACATAGAGGAAGATGAATTACAGCATTTACAGGTAAACATTCAATACTTAGTTAACGATTCTTGTATATTTTTGTGTCGAATAATATTAAGATGGATTTATAATCTCACGTTAACAAGAAGTTGCGAGAAATGGAACAACGCATGAGGAAGACCTATGATTGCATTAAAATTAAGTAATAATTATGAATAATTACATTATTTACATGTCTTAATTCCTAATTTATAATCGATTTCAAATTTTACAATGGTTTTGAACAATTTCATATTAAAATATCATTGTTATAGTGTTGCCAAGTTTCAAGGAAATTTTTACAACGTTATTTTAATGCCTTACATTAAAGCTGTTCACAGACTACGGACGCGTGGCGCTGGAGAAGACGGAAGGCAAGCCATTTCAGCATCTGCAGTTCCTTGTGCGCGACTGGAGCGTTCCCTACGAGTACCCGTACGGACTGGAAGGAGGAATGAAGCTGTTGGAGAAGAGACTCGAAGTAAGTATTAACTACAATCCAAAAGAGAGTGTTACCTTACTAATATTCTAAATGCGAACGTGTACATGTATGGATGGATGTTTCTTTGTTAAAAGGTATATCCAGAACGAATTAACGGATCTGGAAAACATTTGGTTTACATGTAGAACATGTCTGGAGCACATAGTCTACTTTTTTAATCTGTACAGACGGAGTCGCGAGCGACAGCTAGTATAGTGATAAATGGTTCAATGTAGGTTCATGAGAATCAACACGAGGAGTTGAAGACGCTACGGAGAGAGATCAGGTCGTTCTTCAGCCAGCTCTCCTGCTTCCTGCTGCCGCATCCCGGCATGAAGGTTGCCACCAGCAAGGAGTTTAATGGAAAATTAACAGGTAAAAATGATATGGATATTACCAGTTAGTAATACTGTAAAAAATAAATAACAAATAGTTCAACTCTATTAAATCAGTTCAAAGTAATCTTATATATAAAATTCTCGTGTCACAATTTTCTTTCCCATACTCTTCCGAAACGGCTTGACCGATTCTCATGAAATTTTGTGAGCATATTGAATAGGTCTGAGAATCGGCCAACATCTATTTTTAATCCTGCGCGGACGGAGTCGCGGGCGACAGCTAGTATAATATATTAACTGAAGTAATAAAAAAATCTTTACTTTTACGGCCGCACTCGGAATTAAAGGTCACTAAGGGAGTTTTTTTATGTAGTTTTTGTATGAAAAATCTGTAAGGAATCACTGCTTGTAAACTGAAACCAACTCGGATTGTAGCAATTAATATGAATAATAAAAAGATTAACTAAACTTTTATATTCTAAAGATAGATGGCGTTGTTCTTTAGTTTGATTTAAGAAAATTAATTTTTAGTTTGAAAGAACCTTGTTATTTGGTTGCAAGTATTTTTTATTGCATAAACAGATATAGACGAAGAGTTCAAGAAATGTTTAAAAGAATTAGTGCCGTATCTCCTGGCGCCACAGAACTTGCAGCCCAAAGTGTTGTCGGGGCAGACGCTCAAGGCCAAGGAGCTGCTGTACTACATCCAGGCTTACATGGAGGTCTTCAATGGAACAGAATTACCTGTGCCGCAAACTATTCTGGAGGTAACTTAAAGATATCCAAATAATATGGCTTTTTAGTATAATACAGTGTATTATAAATAAATTCAAGATGGCCACCTACTCAAAATAACAAATAAAACTTATTTTTTAGTTATGGGCGTCTATAAATTTAGTTTGACACATAGAACATATATTAAAATCCGATTAATAAAATAATTTAGTAAAAAAGAATTAATTTAAAAAAAATATCGATTTACGAAGTGTTTAAATAAAAAAAACATATTTTTTTTGAAATGGTTCTTAGGCGACCGCGCAAGCCAACAACCTATCTGCAGTGTCGGAGGCGCGGGAGGTGTACGAGTGCCTGATGGAGGAGGTGGCGGGGGGGGCGCGACCCTACCTCCCCCCCGACAGGCTGGCGGAGGAGCATCGCCGCGCGCGGGACAAGGCCCTGCACTGCTTCCAACACAAGAAGAAGATGGGCGGAGACGCCAAGTCGGAGACGTACCGGGAACAGTTGCTTCAGGTCATTACTTAATATAAGATTACTGTCAAATAATGACAAAGGTTTAAATAAATGGAATTGAATGTTACAGTTTAAGCTAATAATAATAATTAAAACTTATTATTTTTTAGATTTCTTCATGGTAAAGTTTCTTAGGCGATCTCAAAAAAAATTACAAAGTTTTATAACAATTGAGCGAAACGGCTTGACCTATTTTTATGAAATTTAATATGAATATTCAGTAGGTCTGAGAATCGGCTAACATCTATTTTTTAAATCCGTGCAGACGGAGTCGCGGACGACAGATTGTTTATATATATATATAGAATTATTCATATTTATTAAAACTAAAAAAATCTCACTTCCAGGAATTAGAAGAACAATTCGAACGTCTGCGTGCGCAGAACGAGAGCAAGAGCTTATTGAACATGTTCGGCACGAGCGCGGTGCTCGCCGCGCTGCTCGTAGTGGGGTGCGTGCTGAGCATGCTCGGGGACACGCTCGCCTTCTCTATACTGGAGGTGCTCGGCAAGACGGTCGCATTACTGTCGCTAGGCGCACTCGTCGTTTGGATGTATAGCAGGTATTACTTGAAAATTATTAAGAATAACTCAAAAACTACTGGGTAGTTTTTAATGTTACAAAATATAGGGCCAAATGACACGCAATAACTTTCAAATATAAAAAAGAAATAGATGAATGGAGAACCTCGTTCATTTTGAAGAAGGTTTAAAACGGTTAAGTAAAGTTAGTCCAATGTTGGTACAGACTAGTTTCAGAACGGTTAGGCGTTAGGTTACAGCACTGGATCCGGGGTCCTGTCACAGGACGAAAATATCTCGTTTTGTCTTACGATTTTCACAATATAACTGAAGTAAATAGTGCAGGGACATCATATGTTCCTATCTTTATCTAAATTAATAATTTTTCCAGATTCACAGGTCATATGCGGGAAGCTAGCGAAATATTGGACGAGTTTGCAATGACTTTGAGGACTTATGTTAGTATAATCTTGTATCAAATATTGTTACTTTCTAGCTGTAAGTCTACTATGCATAATAGAACCCGTTTAATACGATTTCTCGCATAATACGCCACTTCCTATAACTTCTGATATCTTACTAATATTACAAATGCGAATGTTTGGATGTATGGATGTATGTTTGTTTGAAGTTATCTCCAGAACGACTGAATGGATCTCGCTGAAATTTGTGATAGATGTAGGAAATGGTCTGGAAAAACACATATGCTCCTAATCAAATTTCTTTTTAATTACGCGCGGTTGGGAACACGGGCGACAACTAGTATTTTCATACATTTCTTATCGCTTTTTTATTATTACAAAAAAAATATATATAATCGTTTCGTCCCACAAAACGACATCTGACGTTTCTCTGTGGGAATCTTAATACTACATCCCGGTTAATAAGCCATTATCTGTTGTGGCAGTGTATATTGCCCGTGATACTGCAGATTTTTCCTGAATATTCATCCATTGATGACAAAATGACATCGTACGAGATACAATCAATAGAAGATCTTATTGAGAATGTGAATAATTCACAAAATGATACCTCAAGTGATGATGATGATGAAGATGAGTTAACACCAGTTTTGTCAAACGGCGAGGCATTATCAGCTGTTTATGATTTGAGACGCTACGTAGCTTCTTTAGATGAAAGCGAAGACGCAATGCAAACTTTGAATTATGTTGAAAATCTTTTAATTGCTAATGGTACAAAATCTTTTTGTCAAACGTAATTATAATACGTATTTAATGTACTTAAAAATGTATAATTTAATATCTACATATACTAAAATTAAAAAGAAAATATATAGCAATTTTATTTTCCCTATCCCGCATACACTTTCTCGCTAAGACGCGTTTTAGGTAGTGGTCCCTGAAAAATCGTCTTAAGCGGGTTCTACTGTAAATTAATAAAAATAAGCATATAGGACTTTTAAAATCACTGTTAATTTAAAGTAATGTATTAAAAGCTATGGTCGTATTATTTTTCAGATGTTACAAAATTTATCACCGTCGGGAAGACTACCAGCCGGAGTTACCACAGATAACCACAAAAGAGATTAGGGATGAAAAATGGATTCACGTGAAGCTCGGAAGGTGGTTAGGGGTTCCGATATCATGAAACATCACAAAAAGGAAGTGAAGGCTAAAAAATATAATAACGTGTCCTAACTGATGACGTAAAATATTCAATAATGTTTAGAGAATTTCAATATTACTTTTTAGTAAAAAAAATACGTGTTTTAGAGAGGGAGGGAAAGTTTAAAAGCTCACCACATAACATCACAGAGCCGGGGGTTCAAAAATTACTAAAAAGTATTTGTGATTAATGGACGACCCCTTATCAGGAAGGGAGTGCCAAAAATGATGTACAGTGTAAAATTATAACTATTCAAAATATATTTATGTACTTATTTTGTTTCATTTACATTTGAATACCTTGGGCTCCTTGATGAAAAAGTCGCGTTATTATTATACTATTATTGTTATTATTATTATTAACCTATTAAATTTCTAACGTGTGGGATTAAGGACTTGGATAATAAAAGAACGAAGAATAAAATAAGAATTTTATTATATATTACATTATCAATCCATTAACAACTAAACCGAAACCAATTCACAGACGCGACAAAACGTCCCGCACAGACGCCGCCATCTTGTCAATTCGCGACAACATGGCGGCGTCGCTTATTACAACTGTTCCAATATTACAATTTCCTTTTAATACAATTATTGTCATCACGGGCGTAATAAACAGAACAATTAAAAATATTAAAATGAATAGGTAAGGATAAACGAACTTCGACATCTGGAGCGAAAATTAATTTATTTTCAAGGTTATCTGAAGAATAAAAAAGGCAAAGATTTTCAAGGATTTAGTTTATAGTTTTTGTATGTTTTGTTGTTTACAATTGTTTCCGATCTTAGTCCACTTACATATGGCACTAAAGGCAAAGTAAGGCGAAAACAAGTTAAGCCATATATTAGTAACGAAAATTAATATGATTTTAGTATATTGCTTCATATTTGTCACAAAAATGTGTGAACTTTATTACATTTTTTTAAATATTTGGTAAATTGGAAAACACTTTTGGACTTACGTAATTCATGCATTTATATCATGTCTTGTCTATGACGTAATTCTACACAAATAACATTATTGCCCTTTGAAATATAACGGTTACATTATAACAGACAAAAATTATCAACTCTAATATTAAAATATTTCATAGAAACAAACTATAAAAAGAACAGCCATTTAATGTAAGTGATAAAATTTTACATACCTATTCACAAGTGTAAAATTCTTACGAAATCTTCATTAGTACACACTATTTTATAGAAAACGGATAAAAATAATTAATTTAATAATAAGTTCAACATGAAACAATAATAAATGATGAAAGTGCAAGAGGATTTATTAATAAAATACAAATAACATGATTTCGGTTTTCGCGCCTTTTTATTTGTCAAAGATCAATTAACGTCAAAAAAATTACAATGAAAATAAAATAAATGAAAAAAAAGCGAGTGAGCTCGTTACAAGTAAGAATTTATCTATGATTGTTTAAATCTATTTAATAAAAATAAAAAAAGAAACATCACAACCACTATTTATTGTGACGGCTTTATATTACAATAAGATTTACGCAATTTATCTTGAGTTGGCACGTCGGATACTAGAGAATGCTTGGTTCTGACGTGCCAAGGCAATACTAAACATGATATTTTTATTGCTTGTTACAGTATGAACATTTTTATTAACTATTTACATTAAATGTTTTAGGAATTGGTTAAAAATAAGGAAATTTTTTATTTAACTTAAAAGAAAAAACCTAGACATAATTAATGATAAAAATATCTGATTTTAATTATTTTAACTTGTGTTTAAATTTTTTAAAAGAAAACATTGTGACAGCAATAAACAGTGAAAAAAAAAATAATCCACAACAAATACAATTTTCAATCCCATGATGACGATTAAAAAAAAAACAAAAAGAAAACACATAAAATATTATCATCACATACAAATAAATTGGCACATTAATTTTTCAAAGATTTCTACAAAAGTTTCGGATATGGTTTTGATATTAGAAAAATATTATATTTACAAAGAACATCTGAAAACACAATTATCGAGTATTCATTCCGTATAATTGTTAAGTACTAAAAAACGTGCAACACAACAAGTGTATCCAAAACGGACCATCGATTTTGAAATTATTTTTTATAAAATGTATCATTTGTGCAACAGCCTGAACATTAACATAATGATTTCAACTTAACATAAATGTTTTAATATATATATATAGACTGACCAGGAATATAAAAAACTCCACATTGAATACAAATTTAGAACTTCACTGCGCAATTCAGGACGATTAAAGCGCCCTAAAATTAGGTTTTCTATATTCTTGGTTAACCTATAATTTAACATTAATTACAATTTACAAAACCACCCTACAGAGATTTTATCAATGTAAAATGTTTCTATTGTTCCATTAATCTAAAAAGGCTAATACGAGGGACAGCGTTTTTAATCTTTTTGTAAGTTTCCACTACTGAAACATGTATAACATATGACAAATATCCCTCAATCTAACAGAGATAATAAATTATTGTTTTTTGTAACGTTTTGCAGAAAACATACAATTAGAATCAACAAGTTTCATTATAAAATTTAAGAAAAAAAAAAACCAGAAAATTATATAATCCAAAAACAGATTTTATCAACATATCAAGAGCAAAAATAGCTCAGGTCAGATTAATCGAACAATACGTAACAACTATTTGTAAAAACTTGTCTACAATGCTGTACATTTCAATACGTGAACCCCCCACCATAGAATGTCAGCCGATACCCCCTCAAAATAGAATTTAAAACAAAACAATCTATTATATATTTACTCTGTAATTAACTAGATACATACGGTTCTTTACACATTTCACTGTCCACAATCCGTTCACATTTTTGTCACTTTTAATTTACACAATTTTTTTTTAACACAGAATTTCCATCTAAATAAGCTCTTCCATCAAAATGATATGAACATCTGAGGTATGCATATAAGAGAGCGTTTAAGCATTTATCACTGTCCGGAACACATCTTTGTCAAATTAACTGGAGATAGCAATCTCTTTTAATATTGGGCGACACTTTAGATATCTTGAAATTAAACATTCAAATGTTACTGTCTAGTCTCTCTGGTATAATTTACTGGTGATATGTTTTCTATAGGTTTAAAAAGTTTTATGCTAACTCCAACTGTTTTAAGTCAATCAAAATCTGTCCGCATTATGATTAATTTCACAACATTATGTTATTGCTTTTACTATCTCAATACTAAAATTATCCTAATTTTAATTAATTTTCATCTCTTGGTTTGATTTTTTTTTCTAACAAATCTTCTTTATTATTTCGAATTTTAAAGTAAAAAATTTCGATCTTTAATTTAGTCTGTCAATGGATAATATCTTAGTATTAACTCTATTTCAACTATTATTTGATGTTTTGCAAAAATAAGTCCACCGAGGAAAATTGCAGTAATTTCATATTTTTCAAACATAATGAGCAAACACTTTCATACAATTTTCTTGCAATCCAAACAAAACCATAGAGCTCTTGAGGCCATAGACTAATTATATATAACATGATTTGGTTCACAAGTGCTGTCTCCCTTTAATCTAAAAATATGTTAGTAAGTCCTGTGTTATGCCATCTCCAGTGGCGGAATACACTGGCATTGGTAGCTCGTTTGCCAGAGTCTGACAATTGACTGACATAATCAGCTCGTTTGCCAGAGACTGACAATGGACTGACATTGTCAGCTCTTTTGCCAGAGTCTGGCAGTGGGCTGGCACTGGCAGTTGATGGGCCAGGGCGCTGAGCGGGGCGTGGTGGCCGGCATCACAAGTGCTTATGTTTGCCGTTGACGCTGGGCGTGGCGGGCGCGGGGGCAGGGCCGAGCGTGCGCTCCGCGGCCGCAGCCGCCGCGTGCTCCATACCCTTCTCTAAGCACGTTTGGTAAGCTGGCTTCATTAACTGTAAAAAGGAATTACTGTCACTAAGGACTTCCCTAAGTGTAGACTTCTAATACCTAATATGCTCAACGGCTTAGTTGTCTATGTAAAGTAATTTTTTTTTTATATATTTTAACTTACATTTTCCCATAGCCAGTTTGCTGTTTCATCAATAGTGACACCAAACTCCCGCATCTCCCCACTGTATCTAAAATGTAAAAATTAAGACTTGAATATTCAGTAACTGTATAAATAGCCTATGTGTAGCCCCAGACTATTGTTCTATATTTATACTGAACTAGCGGTCACTCGCGACTCCGTCCGCGCGGGAATAAAATATTAGTAGCCTAGGTTTTCTTCCAGATTTTTTCAGATCTTCTTTCAAATTTCATCGAGATCCGTTTGGCCGTTCTGGAGATACCTTCATATAAACATCCATCCATCCATCTAAACATTCACATTTATAATATTAGTTATATGTACCTGATGTACGCCCACATGACGAGCGTGAGCAGCGCCACGCCCATGGCGAGGTTGCAGAGGTTGGCGAGTGCGTAGACACCGAGCAGACCGAACACGCCGCTCAGCACGTAGAAGAACATCGCGATCGCGAAGAAGACGGAGGGCGTGCGCGCCGCCTTGAATATGTTCTTGCTCTCGTTGTGGCCGCGGAACTGAACGAACTGCTCCTCAAGGTCCTACAACATAATGGTTATTAATAATATAGCCCACTGATGTATATTTATAATTTCAATTAATTTATACATCGTTTTCCGTGTGAAGTCTGGTCGCGACGACATACAGTCGAACCGGGATAAGCAAAAATCCAAGTGTTTCTCACTATCCCGAGATTCTGACTAATGAAGATCGGGACCGGTCAATAACTTTTGCTTATCTGCTGATAGAGGCATATAAAAAGTGTTGCTGTGCTGTGCTTTCATAAGGAAAAAGACGTTTGTTTGTCATGTACCTGTACAAGTTGTTCGCAGTAGGCGTGGCTAAACTCGTCGCCGCCCATCTTGCGCTTAGCATGGAAGGCGTGGAGCGCCTTGTCACGCGCGCGTCCGTGCTCCGCCTCCAACAGCTGAGTCTGCAGATAGGGCTTCGCCCCACCGCACACCTCCTCCATTAGTGTCGTATACACTTCCTTAGCTTCCGCTACCGCTGTTAAATTGTTTGCTTCTGCCGTCGCCTGAAAGTACAAACAAATAGATTTATTTGTATATATTTTGAATAAATCTTTTGTCAAACTTAATTGTTGATTTCTTTAAATATGAAACATACTAATCAATAAGTGAAATTGTCAATCCTATTGATATTAGAATCTTTTTTTTCCATAATCTTTCTATTCAACCAAATAAAAAAAACAAGGAGGTTGATATGTATTTTTCCGTCTATTTACCACAAGCATGCTCTTAGGTTCTGGGAGTTCGTTGCCCTTGTATATGTTCATGTAGGAGCGGAAGTACTGCGGCAGGTCCTTGGCCTTGACGCGCTGCCCGTTGATCAGCTTCGGGACCAGGTTGTCAGGCGCCAGCAGCATCGGCACCAGCTGCTGCAGCGCGCGCTTGAACTCCGACTCTATGTCTGTATAACAAAATATTTTCATTAATGTTTGCATTCAGTGATATTCATTTTAAAACACCCTGTAACTAATTGAACAATAAGTAAAGGATGTTTTAAAAATAATTGTATGAAAATTAAATAGTAGGTAAGTTGACTTGTAATCTGATGGATGGATGGATAGATGGATGTTTGTAATATAATATTTCCAGAACGGTTGTATGAATTTCGCTTAAATTTGGCATACGTGTAGAACACTTAGGCAACTAATATATATATATTAAACCACATATGGACGGAGTCGCGGGCAGGTAGTGTAGTATAAATATTAGATTATTTATTCCCATTCACTTCTTTCCTATACATGAAAATGAAGTAATTTAAACTGCCGATATAAAAAAACGGATTATGATATTTTCAAAAGGCCGAATTCTTAAAATTTACAAAAACTTTTAATTAACTAACTTAAAAAAGAAGGAAGTTTTCAAATCATCAGTAAATTTTGTCTTAAAGTTGTATTTTCATCAACCATTCACGTTGTGTACTATTTACCTGCCAGCCTGCCATTAAAGTTGGGGTCCGTGGCGACCTTGAGTCCGGGATGCGGCATCAGGAAGCAGGCGATCTCGGAGAAGCAGGAGGTGATGTGCTTCCTCAGCGACTGCAGCTCCGGATGCTGCTTATCTGATACCTAAAGACAAAATTAATTAAAAACAACTTGTCAAATAGTAACAGAAAGTTCATACATCAGATGCAAAAACAAAAAAACCCCTATAATTAAGCCATAAAAAGTTTATTCGAAAATTATTTTATTAACTACCAGTTGCATGCGTCTTCGTTCGCACTGAATAAAAAAAAACTAATAATAAATATAGCCCATAACAGCTGGGGCTTGTAACTTCTCAAGAAAAGTTCCCAAATGAATTCAGCTATCGGAGCATATTGAAAGTAAACAATCAAATATATTCAAAACATTACAGATCCTTGAGGAATATTTATGGAGAAAAAAAGAAAAATAGTTAATATAAATCAAGCTAATTGTTTTTTTATCTATAATCTGTTTTTATGAATTAAGACATTACCCTAAGCCTTCGCTGCAATATAGCCTGTCCACCCTCCGCACCGTAGGGCGCCTCGTAAGGGAAGCTCCAGTCTCTGACGAGGAACTGCAGCCGCTGGAATGGCGTCCGCCCGCTGTCTTCCAGCGCCAGCCGCCCGTACTCTGTGAACAGCTGACATCATGCAACATTATTGTATGGAACTTTGTATGTAAATCAGGTAACATCGAATTTCTATATTTAAATATCATAGATAAAGAACCTTTTGTTATTAAAAAAACATAACAATATTACTATAGTTTTTCAGAGATGATGGTCATCTTTATCATCAAGTAAAAAGATATTTCTACTAAACAATGGACAGTACATGATTTAAATATGAGACAGCAGTTGTCTTACTTGCAGATGCTGCAGGTCATCCTCCTGTATGTTCTGCGAGAGGTTGTATATCTGTACGGAGGAGAGCATGGTGGAGAGCGCGAACACAGTGGCGCAGTCCCGCACTGTCGATTCACTGTCGAACGCACCCTGCGTGTCCAGCAGGATCACCGCAACCTGCACAAGATACGATTACAATAACAACACTGAAAAATAAGATTTTTTAATATATAGGATCTCGCAAGTAGCCAGTAAACTTTGTTGTCTAAGAACCAATGTTGTTACCTTCTCTCCGGTGGGCAGCGTTGTCTTAAAGACTTCTGACCACATGAGTATGCCCGTGGTGTCCCGCTCAGAGCCGCCGCGCCAGCTGAAGCCCTCAAGCGGCTCGTCGTCCGCGCCCAGCCAGTCCCCGCCTCCACCGGGGCCGTACTGTAACCAGTAAACAAATGATAGGTGATGATACTACACAGTGTGATTTTCAAACATCCGACTCGAAGGACTGTCTGTTTGCTACAAATCCTTTATAAGTGCATATCACGGATTTTAAGATGGCCAAATTAACTGCATGGAAACCTATTAAAGTCAAGTTCTCATCTCCCGCATCGCCGTCCCGATCTGTCACTCGAGTATCCCAGGCGAACGAAATGCTTCGCGAAACACTGTTTTCAGTATCGTTTGAACTTAAGGGGATGCTTCTATAGGTCCTCCAGTTTCAGTAGACCCACCTGCAGATATACGCTTGCAGCTTAACCCGTCATAAATTTAACATTACTAACCTTGTGATGCATATATCGTAAGAAGCAGTTGAGTATGAAGGACTTTCCTTTGCGGAAAGCACCAGCGACAGACAGCACGACGACCGCGCGGTCTCGTATGTCATCTTGCAGCAGTAATTCGGCAAGCGCCTCCTCGTTGAGCACGAACGTGTGGTCGGGGCCAGTGTCCACGATCTGGACGCCGTGTGGTCCCAACTTGGGCGCCGGTACTGGCTGCTCGCTCACTGCATGGACAAAAACTTAGACATATAAATAATATTCAAAATACATAACTGTGAACGTGTTAAAACTCTTCAAAGTTACAATCACGTGATTGAATATAGGGCCTTCTAATATCGACGCGCTGACTTTCTTTCTCCTAATAGTTGTGTCGATTGCATATATGGGTATCAATTGCATTTAGTACAATTTTCATATGAGAGTATAGTCTAAATATAAATTAACAAAGATATTTGCATGGTTTTACTGAGAAGCGAATTAATTCTCGTCTCGTATCCGTCTCGCATGAGTTGAAGTTACTGTATTGTTGTTCAATTATCTAGTCGCAAGTGGAGCAATAGATATTAATCGTAGAGAAGTCAATTGGTTCAAATTGGTATAATTCTAATCTATAAAAGAAAAAAGAACACCACGTAAACAACATCAAAATCAAAATTTTAAGTTATTTTGACAATAACTTACACTGTCGTAAGATATATTGTCGTCCCTATCGTTTTCTGAGAAAAATAGAGACGACAATATGTATTAAGTGTTTCGGCAATAAAATTTCATGGTAGTAATGTTCAAACAATTATAGAAGTACATAAACAAGCCATACTTCGGAATACTTATGTTTAACATGGGCGGGACAAAGGAGTACTTACTTATAATGAACCTCATTTAGGTCAACCTTATAATACAAACAGAATAAAATAAAATACAATATTAAAAGGAATACAACAGACAACTATTACCTTACTAATATTATAAATGCGAATGCGGATGTATGTTTGTAAGTATCTATAGAACGGCTAAACGGATCTGGATGAAATATGGCATAAATCTAGAACACTAGTAGCCCATGTGTTCTTGCAGACTATGCAAGAACACATGGGCTACTAATTAAGTTCTTTTAGTCCCGCGCGGACGGAGTCGCGTACAACAGCTAGTACATTATATTCATTTGAATTTAAATCAAGTCATATAGATGTATTAAAAATATGCTTTCCCCTTTTCAGATAGTTAATTAACAGCACAAGGAAGGTTATACAGCAAATTAACGTCTCCAAGATATAGAGGTCAATGACACTACCTTGTACGTAGGCGATGACCAAGATACCCACCCACGATCGCCTTTACATGTAATGTACGGTTCAATTGACCATAAAACTACAGTACACAAAACTGCATTGTGCAAATTATTCAGTAATAGTAGAATAACTGGTATTATCTTACCAATATTATAAATGCAAATGTCTGGATGGATGGATGTTTCTTAGAAGGTATCTCCGGAATGGTTGCATGGATCTCGATGAAATTTAGCACAGATGTAGAACATAGTCTTGGAGAACACATGGGCCTAATTAAGATTTTTTTTAATTCCGCGCGGACGGAGTTTCGGACAACAGCTAGTATTGAATAAAAAACTATGAGGATAAAGATGATTAAAATATTAATTTGCAAGATTTATAGTGTGTCTATTTAAGATTAGTTTGACAATTCACTAGATATGGGTTGTTTAAAATCGGTTATGAAGATTTTCGATTTTCAATGATTGTTTTCATAGAACTTGCGATCGAAAATGTCTTGATTAAAAATAGAAAACTTGTAAAGAGAATAAACGACGCAACGATAACAATTAACTAAACAACGAAAATAAAACAAAACACATATAATGTAAAAAGTAAAAAACTGCAAACAAAGGTTAAAAAAAGTGCTTACAACTTCTATTGAAAAGATTAATCGTCGAAGTATTGGTAAAGGAAAATAAAACCCGTGTTATTAAGTACCTTTGGAACTTGTCAGAACGCAAGGTCTGCGAGTCAAGTCCGCTGACGTCACACAACTCGGGTCAAAGGAATCGAAACACGTCAACAAACTAAACGATACATGGGTTTTTTCCTTCGAACAAATTATAATCTTATTAATTTTATAAATGTGAATGTTTAGATGGATGGATGGAATGGAACGTATGAACGGATCTGGATGAAATTTGGCATAAATGTAGAACATAGTCTAGAAGAACGCATAGGCTACTAATTAAGTTTTTTTTAATTCGCAATTCGATGTCGCAGGCGATAGCTATTCATATAGGCTACTAGCTGTCGCTCGCGACTCCGTCCGCGCGGGATTAAAAATAGATGTTGGCCGATTCTCAGACCTACTCAATATGCTCACAAAATTTCACGAGAATCGGTCAAGCCGTTTCGGAGGAGTATGTGAACGAAAATTGTGACACGAGAATTTTATATATAAGATATTGCGATACAATGACCGGAGTACATAACAACGACCATTAAAATGTCTAGTTTTCCGTTTAATTTCAATAAAACTTTATATTTACAACATAAAACCTTGAATATCGTTACAATTTTATGTTATGTACATTGAGATAGTCAAGCCACAATGAAAATCATTATTGTTTTTACTTTACAATATAAATAATATTATCATAAGGCGCAAAAAAGATTACGTTTTACGATTACTCTCTTATACATATCAAATATAACACATACATAAAAACATAATTTTTATAAAGAGAAAGAGTGAAATATTAATTTTAGTAATAATATAATTGCGATTGTATAGATGGATGTTTATTACGAGATATCTGTAGCACGGCTCAACGGATTTCGATGTAATTTGACATATATATAGAACATAATCTGAAAGAACACGTAGGCTACTAATTAACTTTTTTTAATTGTGCTCGGACGATGTTGCGGGCGACAGCTAGTTGTAACTAACACTGGTATTTAAAGAGTGTCGACTGTCGATAGTGTGGTATCGGATATTAAGGCAATGGGAATGTTGTATAAACGTCCATTATGTTTGCAATAACATCCTATCACTTAAACCTTGTTCGCATACATATGTGAACATATACCGTTGGTTGCCTAGTTCATTATCTCTGTGTAAAACATATCGTCATCCCTTTCATTATATTTAATAAAACAGAGATAGCAATATGTTTTAAACGGGGATTTTGGAATAATGACATCATAGTTACGAACAATAGGGATTATTTTTAATTAATATAGATCGACCGACCGCAGCGATTTGGCGTCGATTTTTTATATTATTTAGTTTGGTTTAGTTTTAGTATATAGTTTATAGTATTATTTAGGTAGATTAATTTTAATTTAATTAGTCACTTAATAATTAATATAGAGTTAAGTAATTCATTTTTAGAAATATATAAAAAAAAATTAACATAGTATAAGAGGCATTTAGGATATTTTAGTATGGTTTTATTTTATATTTCAATGATAGAAAAATGATGACGTATAATCTAATTTCATCTTACTAATATTATAAATGCGAATGTTTACATTGGTGGGTGTTTGTTATAAGATATCTCTAGAACAGCTTTCGAATTTGGCATATATATAGAACATGGTCTGCAAAAAAACATAGGTTACTAATTAAATGTTATTTTTAATTCAGCGCGGATGTAGTTATGGGCGATAGTTAGTTTTAATATATTTGTAAAATTTATAATATGTCGAATATTTGTATAATATGCAATGATTACGTAAATCGATTAAAAAAAAAGATTCCATGTCTTGCTGACCGTACAAAGTATGGAAGAATGTTAAAAAAGTTCATGTTAAACAATCTTAGCGGGAATAAAAACAATGTAATTTTACTGTACAATTGTTTCCAATTTATATTCAAGACAGGTCGCGTCGGAACAACGGGCCAAATGTAAATAACAAATTACATGGGTTTTAAAATGTATTTTAAGACTAGATCCGTTTAACTGTTAGATTAGACAGACCGTTGGTTTCTGAGATCAAAATCTTTATATATATAATTCTTCTGTGAGTGTGTATGTTACTGAACTTCTCTCAAACGACTGGACCGATTTTGATGAAATTTTTTATGTGTGCAAGGGGATCTGGGAATGGTTTAGATTCACAATTTTGTCCGCTGGACAATGTTTTCTTAATTAATTTTTAATTTATTAGTAGTTGTTGATTTTGGAATGTTTTACATTGGATCCGGCAGACGGTGCTACCATCGCAGTGTCAAATTGTCAGACAACGTCTGTCGGGTCCGCTAGTATCTGTATAAAACATATAGTCATCAAAACAAAGAGAGTGATATGTTTTAAAAGGGGATTTTGTTCAGAAACCTACGGTTAATCGAAGTGTTATTTGGTATTTTTACATCATGTTTGGGAAGTTAGCATAATAACCAATATGTTTCAAAGCAACAGGTTCCACTGCCGAATTACAAGTTAAAACAAATTTTCTCGCTTACATAAAAAAGCATTTATCTACAGTATTATATGAAAATACACTTAATATCTTGCGAAGTTTTTTTTTATACCTGGGCATTATAAGTAATGCCGGAATTAAACATACTAAACGTAACACTGGCACAAAGGTCTTCGTATTTCAGAACCTGTTATCATGAGACGCGTTGATTTAAACCAGGTATGTAACCTTGTACAAACTGACGATAATGACGTAATTGGATGCTGTGGTCCAGACAGAAACATTAATCATCTGTGTTAATAAGTATAGGTTAAACTAGTTTAAATAAAAAGTTGCTAGATTTGTTTCTGGGGTCTCATATTATTTCATTGTCTCGGAATTACTCGTTGCATAATTCGATCGTAAACTGTTATTACCAACACTAACAAAGACTTGTTTCATGTAGTACATAAAGTACATAATATGCAATGCTTGATATACATAACGTGACAAATATTCTGTAATCGTTTTTAAAACCAATTCATCCGTATAGACAATAAATAATTTGTTCTACGCAAAATAGATCAATAGACAAAGGTTAGCTACATACCATAGATACGAGCTATGACTCACCTCCTCATACCTTAACCTCGACTCTAAACAAAGGATTCAAAGTTACATCGGGAAGTGGCAACGAAGGTCGCAGTAATATAAGTTAACATCCTTCTAATCTAACTGAATAAAAGTTATATAGAATCTTGTCACCCAAATCCATTATTAATCACCCTGTAGTCACTGCATATAAAAGTTTAAGATTTAAGGCT